CACCTCCAGCTCTGTCTTCTGTCTTCTGCCTATTGCTACTGTCTCTAAACCATACATCATGGCTGGTCTCACCACCGTCCTATAAACCTTTCCCTTCACCTTAGCTGACACTCTTCTATCACAGATCACTCCTGACACTTTTCTCCAGCTGTTTCATCCTGCCTGCACTCTATTCTTCACTTCTCTTCCACAGTCTCCGCTGCTCTGAACAGTTGATCCTAAGTACCTAAACTCCTGCACCTTCACCATCTCTGCTCCTTGTAGCCTCACTGTTTCGCTGTTCTGTCTTTGGTTTACGCAAATTTATTCATTCCTCCTCTTTCTAGTGCAAACCTCCACCTCTCTAGGTTCTCTTCTAGCTGCTGTCTACTCTCACTACAGATCACAAAATCTGTCATCTGCAAACATCATAGTCCATGGGGACTCCTGTCTGACCTCATCTGTCAATCTGTCCATCACCACAGCAAACAAGAAGGGGCTCAGGGCCGATCCTTGATGTAGTCCCACCTCCACCTTGAAGTCTTCTGTCCTTCCAACAGCACACCTCACTACTGTTGTACTATTCTCATACATGTCCTGCACCAAACTCACATACTTCTCTGCCACTCCTGACTTCCTCATGCAAAACCACAATTCCTCCCTTGGCACTTGGCCTTTTCTAAATCTACAAATGCAAATCTATAGCTCCTTCTGACCTTCTCTGTACTTCTCCATCAGCATCCTCAAGACAAATATTGTCTCTGTGGTACTCTTTCATGAAACCATACTGTTGTTCACAAATCTCCACTTCCTGCCTCAACCTGACTTTAACTAGTCTCTCTCATCAACGTTATTCCTCTGTAGTTGTTACAACTCTGCACATCACCCTTCTTATAAATTGGCACCAGAACATTTTTCCTCCACTCATCAGGCATCTTGTCCGTCTCTAAAATTCTGTTAAACAACCCAGTCAGGAAATCTACCGCCACTTCTCCTAAACACTTCCATACTTCCACTGGTATGTCATCGGGACCAACTGACTTTCCACTCTTCATCTTCTTCAGGGCTTTTCTTACTTCATCCTTTCTAACCTGATCTACCTTCTTCCTAATAGTTTCTGGCTCCTCATGGCACATTAGCTATATAATATAGCCAACAAAAAAAATCACAAAACTCAACAATGTCTCCATGTTTAATTTAACATGAGTTAAATAATAAATTAAACATGAGCTTGGCATTTAGCAGGTATATCATCTTTTTTAGCTGTTTCCAATGATCAGAGATTCTTTTGGTCCGTCTTGTTTCTTTATTTCAAAGCAACAACAGGGAACGAGCACTCCCTTACTTATTTTTTGTTTATTTTGTGACTCAGGAGCAACACAACCCTCCACCCCTGCACTAGTATATGTGTTGTTTCCCCGGATGCTACATCCATTCAGCTGATCAGATTACAACTGATGTGCTCTTTTATTGCCATTTTCTAACTTCTCCTGGCATTGCATTCCAGGGGACACCACACAAAGGATGAGATCCACTCCATTTCCAACACCTGCAGAATTGGATGCATATGCTAAGAAGGTTGCCAACCAACCGCTAACAATCAAGATCTTCCCCAACAGCGTCAAAGTCCCGCAGCGAAACCACTTGCGTCGCACTGTCAACGGCCTGGATACGTCAGGCCAGCGCTACAGCCCCTATCCTTCATCGCAGACCAGTGCCAGGGCAGGCCTCCTCGCCATTGTCAAGTTGCCTACGGTTAAAGGCGTCCTGAAGGATTTTGATGGCAGCCGGGCTCGCTTGCACCCTGAAGTCATTATGAATTCTGACACTGGACCTTACCAAGTAGCTGCAAGCAGCACTTTAAAACACCCTCCTTTAACAAACCTCTGCCTGTCACAGCTAAACGTACCCCTGCAACCGCAGGACCCGCCTCAGTCTCTTCAGATGCCCCTGCCTCAGCAACAGTGTCACACTCAGAGTCTTAGACAACTTGCCCCAATGGCCCCGCACTCTCAGGGCCCATCCAGACTTCAGACTTTGTCTCAGCACCCAGCCCTTGGTCACCCTCAGGGCCCCCCTACTGTCATGCTTCAGCAGCATCACCTTCAGCAGCAGCAGCCTCCCAGAAAGCTGCCAGAATGCAGTGACGCACCACCTAACGTTACAGTTTCTACCTCAACCATTCCACTCTCAATGGCTGCCGGGCTGCACCAGGGCCACCAGGCAGACCTGGGCACGATTGTGCATCAGATCAACCAGTTCTGCCAAGCTCGAGCTCAAGGTGCAGGGGCCACGTCAATGTGTGAGGGCCAGATTGCCAACCCCAGTCCCATTAGTCGCCATTTGCTAGTGAGCGCCTGTTCCAGAGTTTCCATGCAGAGCCACCCTGCCACCCCCGGCTTCCCCACACTCAACCCCATCACTGGCTCTCAAGAGAAAGCCATGGTCCCAATGGGTGCTCACCTTCCACCCGCCGTGACTGCCATGAATCACTTGCCTTTGAGTTACACTGATCACAAACATCAGCTCCATTTACAGCATCACCTGCATCCCCAACAGAGTCAGCAGCAACACCAAATGCAACACAACACACAACAGCAGAAGCTGCGCTCCTGGAACCCGCAGCAGTTGTCCCACGCGGCCCACATTCAAAACGGAGGGAGCCACCTCTGCAAACAGCCTTCCAGGGACTCCACCTTCAGTTATAAGGGCATGGGCTACACTGCGGAGTTGTGTGTGGGTCAGCCTTACACGCTAAAGCCTCCTGTTGAAAGGCCCACCCCCTCTCCCCCCGTCAACAACAATGGCATGCCTGGCATGGCTCACTACACTAATGGTAACTACTTCCAGTCCCACATTTGGAACAACAGCATCCTACCCACGCCCAACAGTGACAGCTCCGGGTCTCAGGACGTCGCCATGCCATACCACGGTGCAGGCCCAGGGGGATGCATCACACTGGACTGTGGGCCCCCCGGGGCGCCCCTTTATAGGCTAGGAGCAAGCACCTTTTCCACCTCCTCCTCCTCCTCTGCCCAAACTGCTCTGATGCAAACGGCCGATTACTTGGGCAAGGACTTCCAGACGCCCTACTTCCGTGATCAGAATCTGATGGGCAAGATGCACAGGCCTACTCTGAGCAGGGTCGGTCCAGAGGTTGGGGACGATAAAACCGCTCTCATCCAGCACCCAGGGTACAGATAAGCTATGGCCTTGTCTACACGACACTTATCGAACTCCCTTTGTTTAGTCTTAAGAAAGGCAACACAAAAATAAAGTAAACTGTTAAGTTAAACGAATGACTGCTATTGTAAAGAGGGTAAATTAATATATTAAATAGACACAGTATTTGATTTTTTTTTCTTACAAAAAACTAAATCTTGCAAGTGATCAATTGCTAGTTGTTGTTTTGTTTTATTTTTTGTTTTTTAGTCCACCTGACTAAAAATGTTCTCTTTAGATTTTTTTATCATAATTTTTTTTTTTTTACAGCGGAATCACGATTTAGCACGGCAATGACATCAGTCAAGAAACGTTTCTCGTATCAGTGATAATGCAAAAAATGATACATGACATGACCTACCTGTATGTCTATGTACATGGAGTTATTAGTATGTATGATAATTTATAACTGCATTATTCTGACTCCCCTTTGTCAGATAGAAAAAAAGCATATATATATATATATATATAATACATTTGTAACCATTGCAATAACATATTATTATATATAATAATCTATGTATAATCAAATACACATTTCTTATAAGAAATGTGTATTTGATTATATTAGGTTTGCGAATAAAAGTGTTTGTTTAAACCTGTTAAAACCAACTGAAACCAACGGAAAAGTATTTTTGAACCTCTCATCTCTGACATATATATCAATCTACTAATTGTGGTCTGTAAAAATGTGGTCCGTATTTAAATATCGCTCTCACTGTCTCGGCGATTTATCATTCTGAGATTAAGGAACAGGAGCCTGGTTGAAGCCGAATGTTGACTGCGTAATGAGTCTGTGTAGGTCCTCTGTCAACCAGGTGATTTTATCCAAATTAGTTACATGGAGGGCAGCTGGACGCAGTGGGTTTGTCTGAAGACGTTTCACCTCTCGTGCAAGAGGCTTCTTCCGTCCCGACTGACTACTGGGAAGTTGTGGTATTTAGCCTCAAAGGGGCTGCATACCCGTAACGAGGGTTGTTGCAGAACGGCGGTTATGGGGGGGGTGTGGTGGACCACGCCCTCTCCTATAAGGAGGGTGGAATGTAAAGTCACAAGGGTTAGAAGTGTCAGGGGGAGCGATACCATACCTATGGACTAATAGTTTCACCGGTTGAGTTTTTTTTTGGGGGGGGGGAGGGAAGTGGCCCTACTTATGGGTGTGCAGCCTCTTTAAGGCTAAATACCGGAACTTTCCAATAGTCAGCCAGAACCCAAGAAGCCTCTTGGATGAGAGGTGAAACGTCTTCACCAAAAAAAAAACCTATTCTGTCCAGTTGCCCTTGATGTAACTGTTTTTGGATGTGTGTAACGAGGACAAAATATAAAAAAACAGGCATTTGTTATATAGTTTTTCTTTTGCTACTACTGATGAGTGTGTGTGTGTGTGTGTGTTCTTTGCCACAAGGACCAAATTGATCACTTGCAAGATCACGTGTCACTCAACAAGAAGTAAAGCTGCAGATGCGTTGTTTATTTTAGTGAACACTGGCTTACCTACTAGACTACTGTAACTTAAACCTGTAAGGATTGTGTGTGTGAATGTTGCTTGAGTGTGTGTGTGGGTGTGTGTATGTATTCACACTGATGCCCGTGTTTTGTTCACCAACCCATACAAAGCCTTAAGTGTTTGGTCTTTGGACTTTCCTCTGCTAGTGAGCATGGTTTTAACAAACGAACGAAATGATAATAAAAACAAACAACAACAACAACAACAACAACAACAAAAAAACCACACCCATAAGAACCAATGAGAATGAAGTTGGAAATAACTCATAGAAAACTGTTTTCCTGATCTTTTATTTTTAATAAAGTTTCATTGAATAGACAGAAAAAAAAAAATCTTTAGAAAAAGTAAGATATGGAGTAATATTTTGTAATTATATATTTTAGCAACGTATAGTTACAATGCTGTGACTTTTTCCACAATTCAAGGCTTCTGTTTGCAGTTGTGACTATTTATTAAACCTGTTTTACTTGTTATTTAATTTTTTTCTTTTTTTTTTCTTCTTAAATTTCGTACTATTGGTACGAAGTGGAAGACGGTCCATAGGTCTTTTCTTTGGTGTCATTCTGTACGATGAATACTGCTACTCCTTTTGTAATCTTGTAATAAAATAAAATTCTAATTTATGCTTTAATGCGCGACTGCAGCAGGGTTTTGATTCAAAGATGCAAACCCATTGCGAGGACGGCTGGGTGTGTACGAAAAAAAAATGCGAAGGAGGGTTCAATAACGCCTTAGTCTTAGTCATAGTCTTCGGACATGTCTGTGTAACTGATGTGTAAACACTGGACAAATGGATGGACCACTTCAGAGGACCATTTAACCATCCGTGATCACAGGCCCTTTTTTTTCCCCACAGACCAGAGGCAGGAGCCAGGTCATGACTGTACACAATAAAGTGTCACATATGATTTATATATTACACAAATACAGTAAAGCATTTATATATATATATATATATATATATTGTATATATATGTATATATGTATATATATATGTATATGTATATATATGTGTATATATATATATATGTATATATATATATATATATATATATATATATATATAAATTCAGTAGTTTCTTTCATTTTATGACTGTATTTTTTTTTTTAGGTGTGGAGCAGTGGTGGCTTAGGGGTTAAAGAAACAGGTCACATTTCGTTATGAAGCAGTTCATTTTCATTTTTCTCCTTTTTAAGGATTTTAAGCAAAGCCTGGGGGTTATGACAGGTTAAGAAAGATGTCATGCTGTTAAGCTGCCCGGGAAGAAAATGAGTTTTGAAGGATTCAATTCAATGGTCTTATTCTGAATCCACTGGTTCCTGCGTGTTTCCAGCTTCGGCAGCACATTTACGATGTCTTGCTTTTATTAACCTTTAATCTATTTGACACTCAAATAATCAAATATTGCTTGTATCGATCATGGTTTTACTCAACATATTTCCCCTCAGATGCGAAATTTCAAATCAGGCTGACCCCAGAGTATCAGTCAGGCAGGCAGCTACTACAAACAGTTGGCAGTTGAACTGCTTGGATAACTGATGCATTGTGAATACCGCTACCGTCCCCAAGTATGAACGCCTCAGTGCAGGTCGGTCACGCTGAGCAGGCTGAGTGAAGCTCAGCTGTCTCTTTACACCGGTGTGCTGCTCAGAGGAGACATTTCTGTGGACTGATGTGTCTGCCAACGCTTGGTACCCTCTCTTAAAAAGCCTCTCCAGCTCCTCTCTGTGGAAAAAGCAACATTTGTAGAGCCAATGAGGAAAAACCCCTGCAATGCCTTTTTCGTAAAATGGAAAGTGTGCATCTGCGTCTTCAAATCTGCACCTCTCTTTTTCCAGTGCAGCGGGGCCTCGGCGGTAGACCCCTGTGAGCAATCCCAGCCGGGTTCCTCATTGATTTTGCCCACGTTTGTGTTCCATTTGTTCCAGTTGACTTCCTCCACTCTGAGACAACAAGAAGAGACACGTGCTTCAATTACTGTCCTCTGCATGACACACCAGTCAGCTGTCAGTGCGGTCAAATTGGTGACAAACAGCATGCTGCACTCCAATCGATCCTGCTCACACGGCAGCATCATTTGTCAAAATCTTTAAGCTCGAGTCTTCGTTTACGCTGTAAATCATTATCGTCTAGCCTTCCCTGATTTCTGCAGTGATAAACCTCTTGCAGAGGTGAACAGATGGGCTTGTTAAAGAGACCAGGTATATAGTCACATGCAGGCTTGTTGTTCCTACATTAAAGAGACCAGGTATATAGTCACATGGTGTTGAATGAAGTAGTTATATATACACAAATACATTTGTGCAATAATAGTTAATGCATTATGAGTTAATGTAGTACTCAACATCATCTGCAGGGTTTAAAAAAAAAAAGATTTGAGAGGTTTGAGTTATTATCCAGAAGCCAACTCCTAAATAAAAAATATTTTAAAAAATCCAGTGAATGCACCAAACTCAGGCTGAATCAGAATGGCCGAGGCTAACTCATGCTTTTCCCATGATGCCTTTGTAATGCGTGAACCTGATAAAAAAAATACTGTATTTTCCAAAATATAAGTCGCACCAGCCAAAAAATGAAAAAGAAAGAAAAAATATGTAAATTTTCAGTGGTACAGGTCTAGCATACTAGATACTGGTACACAAGCTTAGACTGCCCTCTAGCGGCTGTCAGTGTGAAAATAACAAACATGAAATGATATATTTTAATATATAAGTCATACCTGAATATAAGTCACAAACCCAGCCAAAGAAAAAAAAAGGGCGATTTATAGTCCGGGAAATACAGTACTTTAGTTTCTGATTCTTATGGTTTCAAATTGTTTGGTTATCCAGGTGGCTATACAGAAAAATCCCACCACTGTCCTTCTGTATTGGTATTGGTTGATATCAGAATTGGAAATTAAGGGTTTGGACAACATCGGCACATCGGATATCAGCAAAAAGTTCATATTGGACATCCCATGGACAACATCGGCACATGGGATATCAGCAAAAAGGTCATATTGGACATCCCTAATTTTAAGGTTTTTGCCCAGATTCTATGAGAGTTCTAACTGGAGAAAACTTGTCTCTGGCTCAGTTGTTTCTTTGAGGGAGCTTTTGTAAATTAATTATGTTTGAATGCAAAGTAAATCAAATAAATACGCCACCATTATCTCCACAGAAAGATACCTTGGACTGTGTCAGTCTCAGTGAAAAGTAAAGTAGATTATGGAAACCTGAAACACCAACGAGAGTCTTCTCCAAGAGCAGTGTTGAGTTTTTTCAGCACCCCACATCGAAACTTCCTCCTCAGCCACCTGGGCAGTCTCTTCTCCATGTCCAGGATGGTGCTTGCTCTCTGAAAGCACCAGCAAAACCCCAATTTCACCCAGAGACCTAAATATCTGTGGACATACAGTGTGACGTAGCTCACCTGCAGCTTCCAGATGCTAGCGCTCTCCGTGGTGATCTTTTCCACGGTGCGGTTCATGAGGGCGATGAGCATGTTGAGCAGCAAGATGTAGGTGAGGATGATGTAACCGATGAGGAGAATGTAGAAGATTTCCTTGTACTGGTAGTCCTCAGTAAACTCCATGTCCCCCATGCCAATGGTAAACTTAAATAGCTGCAGTGTGGTATAGGAAATGTTTGTGAAGGTGGGCTTCACACAGTCTTCACCGTGGGGACCGAATACGAAACGGCCCTGCTTAACACTTTCGTTTTTTGGAGGAGGCTCTATGAGCAAAGTAACCACCGCTGTAACAGGAAACACACACAAAATATATTCATGTCATATTAGGGCATTGCTTCTCAAATAGTAGGGAGGGGGGCTATAAAGTCTCTCGGGGCACTAGAGGGGATTTTCAGTTACTGGATGGCAACAGTTCTTGTAACAATGCCTCAGGGGTGAAAGGTTAAGCACATTGAGCAGAGGAGATGTCTCCTGACCACCTTCATGTTCCTACAGTATCAGTTCAACTCCCAGATTGTGACTCAAATGACCGTTTGGTTTGAATGTGCTTTTTTTTTTGTGTGTGTCGTAGCGTAAGTAAGTTTGTGGTAGCAGATACTGCATTGCTTCTCAAATAGTAGGGAGGGGGGCTATAAAGTCTCTCGGGGCACTAGAGGGGATTTTCAGTTACTGGATGGCAACAGTTCTTGTAACAATGCCTCAGGGGTGAAAGGTTAAGCACATTGAGCAGAGGAGATGTCTCCTGACCACCTTCATGTTCCTACAGTATCAGTTCAACTCCCAGATTGTGACTCAAATGACCGTTTGGTTTGAATGTGCTTTTTTTTTTGTGTGTGTCGTAGCGTAAGTAAGTTTGTGTCACAATTATAGTTTTTTTTAAATGTCTTCGTTTATTAACCAGTTAATATTGTCTAGTGCAGGCATGGGCAAACTAAGGCCCGGGGGCCGGATGCGGCCCGTTCAGCTTTTTAATCCCGCCCGCCAAGCCTTCCCCAATGATATAATTTATTTATATTATCTTCATACTTCTTGTGCCTGCAATATCCACATTTCCCCAATAGATGGCATAGAAAATGATAATAGCATTTTAGCCTTTATGCATGACTTTTACATGTCATTTATCTTAGTTCACATGAATTCTCCATCTATCTGCTCCTTACCCGGCCCTCCTGTTCAATTTTAGGGACAACTGTGGCCCGCGAGTCAAAAAGTTTGCCCACGCCTGGTCTAGTGTGTCAAATACATTTTTTTTTTTGAAGAATGCGTACAAATCTAATTCTCCTTCTTGACCAACTGTAAAAACTCAAAGAATTACATTCTTTTTAACCTCCAATCACAGCCCAGATGAGGGGTGTTTTTGAGCGCCTCTGCCGGGAGCCGTTTGTTTCAAAACCACATTTTGTCTCTACAATAATACAGCTGTCAAACGTTAGCTTAAAAAAATAATATCTGTAAGAATTGTTATCGTTTTTTCCTCCGATAATGAAAACCTGATAACACAATGCCTAGGTTTTGCCATATGATATGTGCCCTAAAAATAGTTTTGCGGTAAAAAAACGGCTGTATATGAACCAGGCTACCACTGCCTTATATCGGTATCGGTTAATATCGGAATTGGAAATGAAGTGTTTGGACAATATCGGCATGTCAGATATCGAGTTAATATCGAACATCCCTATTATTGACTTTCTTACATATATATATTAGAGTAAAGCATATATTTTGTTATTCAGACAAAAACATGTCCCCTAACGTGCCAATTTTATAAGCTAGTATTCTAAATTCATGTGAAGGGAGAATTTTTAAAAACAATTTAAAAAAAAAAAGTTGAAAATAACTACCTGCAGAAAATCCAAAAAGAAAGACAATGTAGACGAAAAGGAATCGCAGGATATCACTGAGGATCATCTGCAAAGAAAAAAAAAAAAAACACAGACAAAGGTGTTGACTTCTTCCCTCCACTCTTTTCGCTGTGACACAGCTCTGTCCGAGTGCACTGACCTTCTGTATCATGACGCTGTAGATGCCCATGTGTTTGTCTCCTCTTGAGAAATAGAGCAGGTTGACCCAGCTCAGGGCCAAACACAGCACCAAGAAGCCCAGGTACTGCAGGCATCCCAGGGCGTACAGCCCAGCTGAGACCAAGAAGAGGACGCCCTGCACAAAACTACAGACAGCAGTAGGACAGAACCATCACGTATTCGTACAAT